TCTCCACTAGAAGTACTTTTGGCCGCTCTCCCCATACAAGCGCAACCACTGTGCGCTGTGCCGTTGTCTCCCGCACTCGGACTACGACTCGACGGCTACTGGCGTGCCATTAACTTTCGCGCTTGAGAAAATTTAAAGATGCTTTCTTTTTTTTTTATGTGAGTGCGTCTTCAACTTTAAGCACTGGCGACTGCCAATTGTAGCGAGGCAAACAAAGGCCGTAATGCCAACGGGGACAAACAGAGAGCAACAAAAATAAATACACACAGAAAACAAAAAAAAAAGGTAAGATGGGACTCACCGGAACCAGAAACCGACGCACTTCCGCCAGGGCGTAGGCGATGCGAGCGTGCGCCTCGGCGGGCGCCGCAAAGGTCGAAATCTCCACGTGCAGGTCCTCAAAGAGATGGGCGTAACGGCTGTCGCCACTGGCCCGCAGCTCCTCCTCCTTCCGTCGGTCGCGCATCGATCCGCGTCCCAGCACGGCCATTTTGCACATTGTGTCCTCCTGGAGTCGCTTCATCGAATTGCCCTTCGGGCCGAGCAGCTTGCCCACGAAATTGAACTGCCAGCCAAATGCCCAATAAGTAAAATAAGTAAGCGATTACCGTTAGCATGATTAACAGATACTCGACCCACCTTCGGGTGATCCCGCACCGGCACAGCCACCTTCACGGCCACCTTGACGGGCTTATCGCGCGTTATGTCCAGCATTTTGAGTTTCTCTATAAAAGAGAAATAAGATTTAATGAGCTGAGGTAAGGTTTTAATGAGAATGTAAGTCGATAAGCATTTTATATAAATAGCTAACAGAGGTAGGAGCTACAATACCCTGTCTTTGTGCTTGTGGACACAGACATTTCTACGAAATTGTACATCTTGTTTTATTTATCATTAATCTGTACTTAGTATGTATGTATGTATGTTTGTATATATGTATATTCCCAGAACTTGACATTGTTCAAAGGCAATTAAAGCTTTTTAGCTTAAATTGTGAACGCAATTTCTATGCTTAATATATCTATGTATGTATTGGCATAATATGTGTGTATGTGTGCGCATATATACTTGTATTTATTCTCAGAATTGACTTGACATTGTAAAGAGGCCATTTAAGCTTTGTTGTTTTTTCTTAATGGAAAGTCTCTTTTTGATCGGCTCAACTGCCTTTGACTTTTGTTCTTTAAGCAGCGCATGTTAATATGCCGCCATCAGTTGCTGGCATTGCAGCATTTATATTGATTGACAGGCTATTAATTTATTGCCCGACTAAAGACACATATGTACGTAATTTAAAGTTGACCTAATATTAAGGTTCTCAGAGCATCTTTTACGGAACTTTAAGTTTGACATAACATTAAATGAACATATGTGCATACATATGTAGGTAGCTTGCAAATAACAGTTGATAGTTTCATTCCTATTCATTCCTCAATTCGCGAAATCAATCGAAAGAAATCATGCTGACTCGCTCTCACGCTGAGCAGCAGACTTCGGTTTTTGTTATCTGTTGAGCGCCTTGAGTTGAATTATTCATGCGGCGCTCTTTTCACGAACATCATGTAGGCAGAAAGAGATTGACGATTGACGTTCGCACAGAGAGACTGAGTAAGAGAGCACAAAACTTTAAAGCTCTTCACATTCACGCTCATACACAACACGCATACACACACGCAATTAATGTGTTCAGCGTAAGCTAGCCTCGCATACACTCACACAAAACACTTTTTTTTACCCAGACGAGCGTCTGCCGAATAACCAGAGCGAAGCAAAGCAAAAACAAAATGAAACGGTTTATGGCTGATCGCAGACGAAGCGATGCAATTGGTTGCTCTCCGAGTCTATTCTTTGAGTGTGAGTGAGAAGGACTCATTTGCAGACAACGAGAAACGCTCAGCAGTTATTTAAGAGCTACATATGTATGTATTTACATGTGTAAATATAAATAAGTCACAAAGAAACAAATATACAAATAATAAGAGCACATTAAATAAGTAATGGAATACTAAATACTTGAATTTTTTACTTAATAATACAAAAATATTTGCTTGCACACTGAGCGATAATATTAAATGCATATACAATATTAATCTGTACGAAATTAAAAATGAAAAATTAAATAAAGCGAGCATGAGCATTTGCAATCATCAATTAAAACCTATTGATCTATCGCCAAAATTACTGGCCAAAATGCTGCAGTTATAATTGCATACTTCTGTATTACTATTATTTATATACATATATGTATATTTTCAACATTACTTTACTCCATTCACCACTCTTCATTTAAAGCCTTACAAATGCTAGCAAATTCCAGCCTGAACCCAAGTTAAGCTCGTAATATCTACCTTGGCTCATCTGACTTAACTATAACTTGTTTTTAGTTAGCAAACAAGATACACGCATATATTAATAAAGATTAAGATACAAAGTTTTATGAAGAGGGAAATTTCGCCCAGGACTTCCCCCACGACTCTCGCAGCCAATTCAATGTGAACTGATTTCATCAGAGTTGCAAAAAGTGTGTGTAAAAGTTGAAAGAGCGTCTGGTCTGGTTAGGTTTGGTCTGGTCTGGTGAGAAGATTAACACGGTTGACTTTGACAATGTATTCGAGTGTTTATCAGATAGTTACCTGACATCCTTAATCAAACTGTCAGAGTCCGTTGTTGCTGCTGTTATTGTTATTGTTATTGCTGCCTTTAGTTTGGGCTGCTCAGTCCAAGTTATGTGACCCTTAAAGCGAGTCAGTGTCTGGTCTGAGGTAGATAATTCCTTTTGGATTCTTCGCTTTTAATGTTTGTAACTAATTAAGCAAAATGCTTCTGCATACAGCCGAATGAGAGAGGGAGAGAGAGGGGGCTCAACTGAAAGGGACAAATCTGTTGACATGCCCAAACATGAAAACATTTTTGTTTGCTCTTCAGCTCAAGTCCCGACAAGGCTAGGGCCCGGTAAGCCAAGACAAGAGCCTGTAAACACACACACACACTGAGAGAGAGAGAGAGAGAGGGAGAGATATGCACAAACACCTATACATTTATACCGACACTCATTAGCAGGGAAAATGGCTTTCTTAACACCTTTGTCACTGCTGCTGGTGTTGCTATCTCTGCCCCGCTGCTTCCGATGACTGACTGGCCTGGCTCTGGCCTGGCTCTGGCTCTGGCTGATTCAGAATATGTCGAGTTGTCAGTTGCCGTAACATACGTAAGTAGTTTGCAGTTGTCAGCAGAGTGAGTGCACTTTGCCGGCGCATACCCAGACACTTACACACACACACACACACACACACACATACACACACACCTGCCCAGGCTGTGTATTTCGGTACTGACAAATGCATAAACAGTCGAACGTTAAGTGCAAGAGCGAGCAGCTGAATACGCTCATTGCCTCAACTTGTCTGTGTGTGTGTGTTCGTCGTCTATTTGTGTTAATTGTTGTCATTGCCACATCGAAAGCACGCTTCATCATCATCATCATCATCTCCACTGTCCGTGGCATTTTATACATGCGGGAAAAACTTCCAAGACGAAAACACGTCTCGCTCTCTCTATACGTATATTCCATATATTATATATTCATAAATATACATATATATACACTCATATATATATCCTCGCCTTGTACAATATTTTGCATAATTTAACTGGAAAGCATTTCGGCAACGGTGCGTATGTGTCATGTAAATTTGGCATCAAAATATTTGCATACATGCATAAATTTGCGTTGAGAATACGCCAAGCCTGTTGTTGATTAATTACACCCATTGCATAAGTCCCTAAAAGGACTTTTGTGTTTATAATTAAGTTAATTAATTAAAATCATTAAAGCGCCAAGCATAAACGCACAAGCTTACCCACACTAGCCCCAACAATTTAACACCGAGCTTAAGTTGATAAAATGCACGCATATACGTATACGTAATACTGTTGATAGCGAACGTACATACATATATTAAAGTCTGCCTGGATGTGAGTTAACATGCTGTTAACATATACCTTAACAATTAAGAACTCAATCAGAGAATTTCACACTGAGCTCGAGTTGAAGAGCTTCACATATTACGTATACGTAATATTGTAGGTTACGAAAGCATATTAAAGTCTGTTTGGATAAGAGGTAACATGCTGTTAACATGTATTTTCGCAATTAAGGTTTCTATGAGACAAAGTTGAGAATTTCACACTGAACTTCACTACGTAATATACGTATACGTAATATTGTTGATAACGAAAATATATAAACATATTTGTTCTTTGCCTTTAATGACTGTGTTCCCAACAAATGTTTTCATATAAATAGTATTCCAGTTGCTATTTGCCATCATTTAAGAATTTCACAGTCAGCTTGAGCTGAAAATATTACGTATACGTAATATACGGATGACATCATTGACACAAGGACATTAGTTGTTTAGGTATAATTGATTTGTTTACTTCCTATGGCCGTATGGCTATAGCACAATTGCACTGTAATGTCCTCAAATGATGAATGAATGAGACTGAGAATTTATTAGGGACATAAAATCCAAGAGGAGAGGCGAGAGAGGCTTTCCATGTTTTCCAGAATAGAAAACGGATTCGAAAGGAAATTAAAAGCTGAAAAAATGAATGTGGGGTAACTTTTATGTAATCCCTCTCATATAGTATAATTAAAGCGTTGGCATGTCTAGTAATAAAATAACATATTATAAAATAAACACAAACATACGTTGAGCTTGTTTCTTATGCAAACAATAATTTCAAAAAATAATATTCTATAAAGTGCACAAATTTATTGCAAATGTTAATTACATTCCGTGCAGCAGCAACTGACGAGCCTGCTCTGTTTATCAGTAATACATAATAATAATAATAACAATTTGTAAATATGTTTATGTATATTTTTTTTTTTCAAAATATTTTCCCTGGTAATTTCTTTATGGGGACGCGCGTCCTTTGGGCGACCATTGAGCTAATTACGTAATTAATTTCCGCTTTATGCATCGCATATGCATTTAAAATCCATTTAATTGGCATTTGCCCAGGCGGCAATCTATTGATTTTGAACGAACGTCGACCACATCGAACCGAACAACAATTATTATAATCATTATTCGTTTACAGTTAACGGGGGCTGACAATAATTTTTTTGGGTCTGCCTACAGCGGACATAATGGGGCTAGGGCAAAAGTTTTCCTGCTGTGTGGGGGGTGGTTGGATGTATCCATTGGCTCCGGCCAGGTCAGGTGAATGCAAATTCTTTTTTTTATTTTTTTTATTTGGTACTCTAATCTTGTATAATTTATGGGCGAAAGGCCATTAAGCTAATTAGGTATGCATTTCAGGGGCCTCGATTGCGCTGCGCGAACTGCTGGTCCAACTATTTTTTCGTACTTCCCACTTGCCCCTTCCCGTGCCCCTATCAGATTGCATTAAGTGCTTGCTTTCTTTTTTGTAGGGGCAGCTGTTGGAGTGTTTTTGGCCATTGTCTATGTGCGGGCTGCCAAAAGAGCCAAACGCGCTAGAAAGAAAACTATATCAGAGGAATGCCCGAGTCCTGCGGGGACTGAGCAAAACTTCAGCCTGGATATTCTGGGCCACAGATAAGCGCATTGAATGCGTAATCAAACTGAATTTATAGTTCCGACAATCACTGAACTAACTGAATATGCAGCAAATACAGTCGGAGCTGGCAGCCAGTGGGAGCGGAGCACTTCCTGTGTGAAGAGGCCTCAGGACAGATGCTAAACATTTGCTCAGTCATTGCAATTGTTTCCGTTGCCAAGTTGTTGAGCAGCATTTGCCTTTTGCTCGCATATTTTTCCATTTTTTCCCCCCATTTTCCACATTTCTTTTGTGTTTGCTTTCGTTTGGCTTTTCCAGGTCATTTGTTTGTCCGGAAAACAGTTCCGTGTGCCTGCTGCCTGACCGACTCCTGCTCCCGCTCATGCCCGAGGGGCAGACACTTGTCTTAACATGAGGATTTGCCCTGACTCAACCCATGACCCTCAACACTTCAACGAGCTCCGACTTCACAGTTTGAGCATGATGATTTATTTGCCTTTAATAAAAAGGCACACACCTGAATTTAAATAAATTACATTCGCCCATCAAAGGCCCGAACACAATTTCCCAAACATAAGTTCAGATATCCGACGCTTAATTAAGTCCACTCAGCAGAGATTGATTTACCCTCGATAATGGTGGTTAACCCTTTCGATTTACATAAGCTCATGCTAATGCGTCGAAGCTTTTAGCCAGACATGTATGCTGCACAATTTATTTAAGAGCTTTCTGTTTGATAATCTGAACTCTGTTTTTTATCAATTTACCAGCGAAATTATCGGTGGACAGAGATTAGTTGAACGAGAGCGTTGAACTAGATCTACCTTAAAGGTGGAGAGGCAGTGCAGGATAGCTGCTCTATAAATTTTTGTTTACTTGTTTAAGTGAAACATGATTTTGATATGGAATAGCGATAGGTATGGTATGGTGATAGGTTATAATGTGTTATGTTTGATATAATAAGCTATGGTACTGGGTTTGGTATGGTAAGGTATAGTATTATATGGTATAGTATGATTTGGTATGATATGAAGCAGTTTGGTATGGTTGGTTTGTTAAAATATAATATACATAGTATGATATGGTATGCTCTTGTATGATATGGTTTGGTATGATATGGTTTCAAATGAAAGGGTTTGCTTTTGTATGGAATGGTTGGCATGCTTAATATATAGTATTTAGTATGATATATTATGTTGCTGTTTGATTTGGTATGGTTTAATATACTGTGATTTGATATGAAATGGTAAGGTATGGAATGGAATGGTTGGTCTGGTATGACATGGTGTCGAAAAGTATGGTATGAAGTGATATGGTTAGGTATGGCGGTATTGGTATTATATGGTATGTTATTATATGGAATGATATAATATTGTATGGTTTAATGCAAAATGATTTGGCATGATATGGTTTGTTATTAAGAAGACTAATGCGAACATCTCTCAAATCTAGTTTAGGTGAGGTATAAATCTTCTTTAGCAATAATCATTCGCAGAGTTATATTTTCCTTAACTCTTTCCACCTGTCTGTCCACCATATTACAAGATTTTCCATTCCCTATACTCAAGTGACAAATTCCCACAAATTCTAGGCAAATGTTATTCACTAACTTTAGTCAAATTCTTGCTCAGCCTCAATTCAATTGCCAAATAAAATACCAAAATTTGGTCTATTTCAGGCCTGGGTCCAACTTTTGCTGCTGGCAATTATAAAAACGACATATCATGGCAAATGTGGGCATTGTTAGCGAGAATCGAAAGGTATTGATTACAATCAAACAAATGTAGCCCACTGCTGCCGGTGGTGCAGGTGGTGCGGGTGGTGCAGACGGTGGCGCTAGCGGTGTTGGTAGTAAGTGCGTGTAAAAGGCTTTGTTGGTATTAATTCGGTTTCCCTTTGGCTGCTTATCGCAAACATGAGCACATCAAAAAAATAAAATAAAAATAAAACCCCTGCGTAAAGCACAAAATAAAACCCAAAGGAAACCAGACGCCTTGGGTCAAAGTCAAAGGCAGCTCCATGGCAATGCCAATGGCAAAGGCAATGGCAATGCCAATGGCAATGGCCAATGGCTCATTTAATCGTTTTGCGAAAGTCTTTTTGGTGCTCATGAGCGAGACGGGTCTGATGGCGTTGGCTTTGGCTCTGGTTTTCTGGTTTAACATTTCCATGCCAAATACCCAAGGGACGGATTACCAAAATGCGGCTCGTTAGTCAAAAAAAAAAATGTGCTGCCCAAGAGCTTACATGCCGCAACGGCGACGAGGAGACATCAAACATTCAAAGAACATTTGGCCCCTCGTTACGTTGCGTTACGTATGTATCCTTTTTTTTTTCACTTCTTTGCCCTGCCTTTCTTCTTCTTTCAAGCTGCTGGGGCGACGGCATTGTTATTTTAAACTTCAGTCTTGGGCAAATTGAATTTGAAGAAAAACGAGCATCCTTCTGGCAGGAGCTGTGCTGGATTTATACACTTGCCGAGATACTTTTCTGGTTTGGTTAGGTTTGCCGTCTCTGCTGGGCAGGGAGCGCCAGGGCGGGGCATTGCCTAATGAGCTCAAATGCTGGGGGGGGTGTTGGGGAGTGCGAGCTGACGACAAATAGTTTTGTTTTTCGTTGCTTATCACCGCATGACGTAATCTGCTTGTATGCTTATGATTAAATTTCGGCGTGTTCGGTTCCCGATATCGGTAACAGCCAGTGCGACGACAGTTTTTACGACATCAGGATGCCAGTCGCTTTATGTCCTTCCTTAACTTTTGCGCAAACAAGTCGCAAGTCGAAAAGGTAGTTGAATGTGAGCAGAGAGTAAGAAGAAGAAAGAAAGCTCACATCTCGCCAGCTAAGTTCGACGTTTGCTTAGCTCAGCAGCAGGAGCTGGAACAGCAGCAGGAGTAGAACTTGGGCTCTGTGGAAATTCGTGTGGCGCCCCACTCGCACACACACACACACACACACACACACTCGCACAGTTGACTCCCACACCCACACACAATCAACACAAACGTTGACTTTGCTCTGTTTGAATTTCTTTGCCACCCCAACGGGCGTTGGTCTGGCATTTGATTGTTCTTGGAGCTGTTTAAGCTGTTGGAGTCGCGGGAGCCGGCGAGTTTTCTTATGCTTTTTCTTTTTGTATAAAATAACATAAGTCATAATAGAAAACAATAAAAGCAATGTAAATCTCAGTGACACTTTCACTCAACTAGCATTGCAAGCGATGCCAGAATATGATTGTAAACAGTGGTAGAGAGGGGGAGAGAAAGAGAGAGAGAACAAAAGAGAGAGAGAGGGAGAAAAAGAGGGAGAGCGAGAGAAAACATTATTTTAAATTTAAGTGATATTCTAGAATTTACCGCTAAATTTAATTTAATCGATATTAATCGCTATTTCATTTTATGGCGTTAAGCTCTCTTAAATATTTTACATTTCACTTTAGATTATGCCTCGCTTCAGTGGATTTTGGGTTAACTGAGCTGTCTTCTAATTTTCTATCTGGAAATTTTTGCGTTTTGCTATCAAATGAGTTGGTAGACGAATCTATTATTTATTTATTCTTTTATAATTATTTTCTATGATTTTCTATTAGTTAAGATTATTAATAGTATATTATTTAGTATTTGCTTATTGAATATTTATATATATTGAATTTAATATAATAGACAATATATATATTTTTGCTAGTTTAATATTCATTTGTATATTTAATTTGTATATTTTGCTAGTTTAATATTCATTTGTATATTTAAAGATTACAGTGTATTTATTTGTATTTTATTTACTTATTATTTGTTTTAATTTTTTTTTTTTTTCTACTTCAACATACCAAGCACCAGATTTGGGCATATGATTTCCGCATCATTAGTATTCTTAAATTTATTATATTAAATTATATATAATAGCATATTATTAACTCTGTCTACCGTTTTATATATTAGTATATTATTAACAACAAATACTCAACTTGAGTAGTCTGCTCAAATCAAAAATCAAACTACGCAATACTTTTCGAGCAGCCCTCGTATGCATGGCTTTTGCCAATCAGATAATGCCTTAGACTTATTCCTTTGTCTGCTTCTGTCAGTCTGACACTTCACACTCTGAATATATAATATTTCTACATATATTCATTCTTCAGTATATATTTGCTCTTTATCCTTTTTTTTGCTAGCTTTAGACTCGGTCTCTATATATTTATTTATCATATTTATTGAATATATAATATCTGTATATTCTTTGGTATACATATATTCAATATTTGCTCTTTGCTGTCGTCTGTTATCCATTTTTTATTAGCTTTAGCCTTCGTCTCAATGTATTTATTTATTATATCTATTTACTTTAACGCTCACGTCTCATGTTTCAATATTTGCTTAACGCCCTCCGATCATATTTGACTGGTATTTACTCTACGTAATCCTTTCAGTTTTTATGGCTTAGAAACTACTTTATTTACAAAATTAATAATGGAATTCTGTTGCTCCCATACTTTTAGTTGAGCTCTCTCTCATATTCGATGAAGCTGCTGCTGTTTAGTTGGAATTGAAAAGTTTTGACTTTTATTGCATACCTGAACTTTTGAGGGCACGTTCCTCCTGGGTGCTTAAGCTGGATTTGGGTTCCATTTTATGCTTCGGATTCAGCCCGGCAAACTGCAAGCAAAGAAGTCAAATAATCAATGTAAGTACATAATAATAGTTTGCTCTGGCATTTTTAAGCCCCTCGTACAACCGACGCACACGCCCGCCCGCCCAGCCGTCCTCTTCCGGGCTGTGTGCTAAGAGCTTAGGGTAAAAGTTTGCAACATTTGATTATACAAGTTGGGTAAGTAGTAGCTAAGACCATCATCAACGCAAATTCGCTTATGGGGCTTACGGAGCCGAGGGTCTAGACTCTAGAGTCCCGAGCTTGCGCTCCATTGTTCTATTGGTTGATTTGACGGCGAGTATTTTGTTGACAAGTTGAGGAACATATTTAAATCAAATCAAAGTTTCTATGAGCCATTTAGCAAAACAATTCATGTCAAGTGGCTTGTTCAACGCTCGGTAAACAATGCCCATTCGTGTGAGGCCGCCTTGTATTACATCAGACAGAGACAGACGACAGAGAGAGAGAGAGAGAGAGAGAGAGAGAGAGAGACGGACAGAGAGTTTGGCTAACATATTTGAGCGCAAAGTCTCTACGAGCAGCAAATATCAAGTATCAAGTTTTCATAGTCAGCAAATACTTCAAGCGAATTCACGCCGGCATTTATATAGAGTGTATATGTATGTGTGTGTGTGTGTATGTATGCATATGGGTTGAGCATAAAACATCGACGACTCGCCTAATGGAATTGATTTTGCCTCGTGGCAATTTGACTGGCAGCCAGGCAGATTGCCATTGCCTCAGGATAATTGCTGGCACGGTCCATTAATTTCTAGAGTATTGCAATATAAATTCATATAAACATGTATACACATACATACATATACATATATATATTTATAGCTGTTTTAATTTTCATAGCCTAATTGCCTTTTATGACAACGTGAAACATTTGTCGACGCGCCTCTAAAGCCCCGCTGACTACCTGGCTTGGAATCGACGAAAGGATAATCGTGGGAGCAGTTCTTCAAATTAATGATAGCGTGGGCCTGACAATTCCCGACAATGTTGTTTGTCATTGTTGGGGTTTGTTTATTTTTTGTATTTTTATTTCAGTTTTTCGCTTTTGCTTTTGTTCTTGCACTTACATATATAGCTGTAGTAGCTTTTTCCCATCTGTCTATCACTCTCGCTCTCTCACACTGTCTCTCTCTCTGGCTTGTCATCCTACTTTCTGAGTTTGACGGATTTGTGCGCATTTTCAGATTAATGCTGCGATTATTGTTTACCGTTGGAATTGTGTACAGTGGTGCGTATACGTAATTTCATCAGTGTTGCCTATGAAACTTTTTAATCTCTGCGATTATCGCTTGTGCTGTAAATTATATTTTTATTGGCCTTTAAATTGTGATAATTGTGGCATGCAAAATGGTTGACTTATCTGTCATATTTAATAATTAAATAATTATCAATAATAATATTAAGAGGAATAATCAGATATGTCAGAAAAGTGGCTCTATTTGGATTCTGCAGGTGAATGTAGTATTAATAAATACCATTTAAAGGAAATAAATATATGTGTATAAATAAAATTTAAATGTTAAATTATAAAATAAATAAATAAATATAAATTTAAGGGAAAGGTTTTTCGACGTTAGTATTTTTTTTAGTATTTTATTTATCAACAACCCAAATAGTATATTCTGTATTTTTTATATATTTGTTATTAATTATTTCCTGCTATTGCATAATATTTTTTAGTATTTTTAGTATTTTAATATTTTTAGTATTTTCTTAGTATTTATAGAATTTTTTCTAGCCTTTTTGTTTTATATTAATAATTCCAAGCCTTTATATTATTTAGTACTTTTTAGTATTTTATATTTTACAAAGGTAATAAAAAATATTTGATAAAGGTAATAAACAAATAGAATAATAATAGTGGCAATAAATAACTATAAATAACCATTGTCTCGCTTGACTCAGAGAACAAAAGAATGCAACAAAGTAACAGATGTTTCGCTGTAATGCAATTGATCCACTGTGCAGTGGCAAAGACGACATTCGCAGGAGCCTTGTCTTTTATATGCAAAATTTAACCCAGAATAGAGAGTCCTGTGCGCTCGGCGGGCTCGTGGGCTAGTGGGCTGCTGGAAGGGTTGACGGCGGGCAGAGCTACCTCTTCCTCTTCTTCCCCTTCTTCATCAACAACATTTTGTGCCCGAGTCCCGTGCACTGTCGGCGCTCTCGCTTTGTATAGCTTCGCACGCACGATTTAAGGATAACGAGGATGGAATGCAGGAAGCGAGGCAAATATTTACACAGTTGGATGATTTAGATAAAGAAGACATGAACATGAACCATAAAACGAAGAAGCCAACAGAGCGGTGAGGCGGCGACTCAGATGCTGACGCTGGCGCTGGCGCCGGCGCCGGCGCCGGAAGGGGAAAATAAGCCCAAGACATTATAAAAGTGGGTTGGCATTATAAAGGATAAAGAAATTTGAATACAATGAAGAGGATTTGGGAACGCCGTGATTGCCGAGCGTCACTTCTCGGCTGCCTTTGTGGCGCAACAGGAAACCCACACAAAACGCAAATAAACCAAAAGCCATAACAAATTCCTAACTAAATTAATGCAACTATCGTGTTCGCCCGCCAGCCAAACATCGTCCGCCCAACATAATGAGCTGCTCGACACGGCTAACCTGTCCATCAGTCAGTCAGTCAGTCAGTCAGTCAGTCCGTCAGCCGGGCATCGAAGGTGCAGCTGTGCATGCTCGTTCACCTGGTCGCACGTTTTGGCTTTTGCTTTAAGTAATGCTCGCATGCAAAACACGAATAATTTATGCAAGCAAACGAAGCGAAGGAATGAAAAAATAAAAGGAAGCAACGTGAATGAAAATGAAACCGAAATGGAAATGCAAATGAAAGAGAGAGAGAGAGAGAGAGAGAGAGAGAGAGAGAGAGACAGAGAGAGAGTTGTGGATAGTGTGTGTGCATATTCCATGCCCACAGGCAGACGACAGCTGCGTCCGGGTTTCAAGTCCTTCTGCCACTGGCACTGGTTCTAGTTCTGGTTCTGGTTCTGTTTCTGTTTCAGTTTCTGTTTTTAGATGCCAGGTAACCAGGTGCCGCTTTCTAGTCATGTCAAAGGTGAATATGTGCTCACTTGAAAGCCATGCGGGCACACACACACACACACACATACACACAGACAGAGCCGCCGCACGTGCCAATGGCCCAAATGCATACGCCGCCGGATGGCGCATGCCGGAGCGCATAACATATGAGCGAAATTCGTCAGCTTCGCACAGCATTTAAATTATTTGTGCTTGTGTCAACATTTGGAATTCCATAAATTTCAGCCAGTCGATGCATACGAAATCGCATCAGGGCAGCAGCAGCAGCAGCAGCAGCAGCTGCACACAGTCCACACCCAACCCAGGCCCAGTCCACATCCAGTTTACGTTTTCAGTTCTAACCCGAATTCCGCCCACTTGCACTTGTTTATTTATTTGCTCACTCGTTTGAGCATATGAAGCACTGTATTGAAATACATGCGAGTATTCAAATGCACTCTCTCTCTCTCTCTCTCTCTCTCTCTCTCTCTCTCTCTCTTTTACTCACACGCTGGCTGCTCCGCCTCCTGCCAGCTGCATTGTCTCTGAATGCAACTAGAATTTCTGACCGGAAATTGTTTCACAAATGCTAGCCAATTAATTTGGAAAATAATCGAAAAAAAAAACTGCAAGAAAGAAAAAATAAATAAACAAAGCAGAGCAAAAGAGAGTGCAAAATGAATTGTGATGCCCGCAAAATAATTTTTCCTTTCTTTTTGGTGTTTTGGTGAAAAAATCGAGTAAAATGAACTGAACAATAGAAGAAAAGCGAAGCATAGAACTATGCTCGAATGCATTCCAGCTATAAACTAATCAATTTTTAATAACTAACCAAATAAACAAACTAGCTGCTAAAACCAATAGAAAAAGCAATTATTTTTCAAAATATTTGTTTCATTCGAACTGCATTTAATTTGAACTACATCAACTCGGCTCTGACTGGAAAACAAGCTAAAAAAAATCAATGGCATGACAATTGTGTTTCCCTGAGCTTGTTTTATTTTTAATAAAATATATGATTTACACAAATGGAAATTTCGATAAATTATAGGCGATTGTTTTGCAAATATTATTTGAAATGAAATATTAAAATTGAAATAATAATTTATGTGCATCAATTATTGCTAAATTAAAATACCAAAAATATAAATACTTTTGTACTATTGTCTCATACAAATATAATAAAATGGGAACAGCAAATAGAAACAGTATAACAATAGTTATATTCATATATAAAATTTTGCAGTATTTTATTTAAATAAATTCTAGTTATTTGTAAATCTAAATTTTTATTTTAATATTTCTAGTCGAAAAAAGAAAGGCGTGAACTTTAAAATGCTTTACCAAGCATTTCTAGCTTCAATGGCAGCAAAATGTTTTGCGTTTATATAGACAGAGAGACAGATGGACGGATAGATAGACAGCTGCACAGAGGAATAGACAGCTGGAGAGACAGCGAAACACATGTGGAGAGATATTTTCGTTATTTTAACTTGTATAAAAAAATATAATTAAATTTTGAATTTTTAAAAAACATTTAAAGCAAACGAAAAACAATTTTTTGAAACTAGTTTGAAGCAAAGTTAGATTCTGTTGCATTTGCTGATTGAAAAGCAGAAAAAAATATGTCAAGCACATGCAAATTGTTTAACTTTTGGCAGTATTTATAAAATTATATTTAATGTGATATATATAAATATATATTAATGTAGGGGATGTGAGCAAAAAAATATTGCATGAAAGGCGAATTAAATATAGAATACGAATATACCACTGTGCAGGAGGAGAAGGAGCGCCTTACAAAAATATAAATAATGTATTATTATTTAACAAAATATTTTTATTAAAATAATCAAATATATAAACAAATATTTATTTAATGTTTAACAAAAAAATAATATAAAATATTTTACTATAAATACATTATTTGTTGTTAAACAA